CTGACGCACTGCTGCAGCAAATGCTTACGCCTAGTCTCTCTCGTCTTCTGTATGCTCTGTGGTGCCATCGGCACAGGTGGTAACGGTTGAATGGCTGGTTTGGCCGACAGGATCCTGGCACGTTCGGGTACAGGATGCCAAGAATTTGGATTTGTAAAATAGTGCGCCGCCCAATGGGTTATCCTCATTAAGCCTTCTTAGGCTGCATTTCCAAAGTTTCTTGGGTAGTCTAACACTATGAAAAGTTTATCTTTGTGATGCACAATTGAGTGAATATTATTCATATCTAGTGTTATGTAACTCAACAGGTTAACAGCATCATATTGGTATAATTCTGAGACTTGCTAGAGGTTTTCCAACGCCGTTAAGCATTTCAATTGACGCAGCAGTCTTCGACCACTTTACTCTGTGGGCCATAGAGGATTTTTGATAAATTGGCAACTTCGTGCAATAACTGAAGAGCGTCGCTGAGTAGCCCGACCGCCTTTTGAATGCTAGAGAGCCTGTATGCCTGGTGCTATTCATGACTGAGAAGATCAATTTCTTTATAAATTCTCGTCAACGGACATTCCGGTTCTCGTTTCGTTTAAGTGATTATTTCCCAAATCCCACTCCTTAAGATTGCCGATTCCCTTGTCCCGTTCATAATAGCAATCCTGCATCTCGCTTCCTTCTTACTTTAAATTCCCGGATCCCGGCCTTTAAATAAGCCCAATCCCAAATTGCGAAAAACCAATTGGAGACCCTCCAAAATCTGCTACGCTGGGCTCGTCGTTTTTTGATTGCTTAATATATGTCCAGAGGCGCTTAGGATTTTCCTTAATAGCCTCCCCCTCAGGTAGTTTCAAATGTAATTTTCTCTTGCAGACTTCAAGCTCTTGTGTAAGCATTTTCTGGCGGCAAGGAAATCATGCCAGTGTGTAGATTTCCCGATTTCTTAGCCTTGTTGTAAAGCCGCTGATAAGCTCTTGTTTTTCTTCTTAACAACCTACCGAACCATGGGACATTTTATCTCGAGCTTATCATTCTTTGTGGTACGTATGCAAGTGTCCATTATTCTATACTATACTTTATTATATATAAAATGTGGTGTTTTACGAGGATTTCTAATGCTTAGAAAAAGCCGTAACTGTAAAATTTTTTTTTTACGCGTGTTGGATATCGCCAATAAAGTGCCTACACCTCTCTAGATTTTCGCGCCAAGTTAAAAATCTTTTTGAAGATCAAATAAACAATGAGATTGTTAGGGAAGAAATTTGTTTTAAATAGTGTTTGGAAGTTGAAATGTTTTTAGACTGAATTCTTCCTGGTAAAACTTGATCATTAATTCTTGAGACATTTACAATGTTGATCTTCAGCTCCGCATACAGTGATCCATTTTGCGTTCTTTGTGGGCTCTGGGTGCAGTCGTTTATTTTTTTGATCGAACGCGACTTTCAGTGGAAGATACTTTGCCCCCAAGACTCCTCTCCTAAGAAGGGAGATGATTAAATGAAATTAAAAAGAAATGAAAAATATACAAAATATTTTCTCCTTAGTGAAAATAATTGCTTGTAACTTATTATTCCGGTCAAAATCGCGGGAAAGTCTCATTTAAAAATATTGCTGTTTTTGAAAACACGCTGTTTCACTAAGATGTTCAAAGACATCCATAACACTGCTGTCTTATGACTACATCTCAGTTCCGATTTTTTTTAGAATCAGATATGAGAATTTTCCAGTTTTCAGCGAGAGAATATCAACTGTTGATATTGTCCTGTTTTAAGTGACTTTCGTTTTTTTTTTCTTTGTACGATATTTTTATTACCTTTACATTCTTCTGTTTCACAAAAAAAAAACTGGTGTATTCTTTATTCACAAATTTAACAATCGATTCAAAATAAGCCCTGTTAAATTACTTAAAAGTAAGGGTTTGCACTTTTTAACGGAAACGACCCTATTAGCCTGTGTATTTATTCCAAAACGTTGTTGGTTTCTTTAGAAAGCAATATACTCAAATAATGCCCGATCAACGATTGTCGACTCTTTTCAGTGCCTATATCTGACAACAGCTCACAGACATAGACTGGTAATATGAAACATCCAAAGAACTTCTTTAACACTTGAATTTCAGTCATATCTACCTTTCAATAATGACTAACCATTCACCTTTTTCATAACTATCTCACTCTTCCTGTATCGCTCTTAAATCCCTACACTTATTCTTCAGATTTCTCTTTATGGACAAAGGTATCATAGCAGCTAACATTAATGCACCTTTCAGATTCCAAAGTACTGCGTTCTCCTCTAGAAAGATTTTAACTAAGCTTGAAGATGAAAAATTTGATCGTGGTTTAAAAGAAGCCCTGGAAAAATTAAAATGCAAAGTGGTACTATACCTTGAAACTGTGACTTTAAGCATCCGGGACAGTTTCAACGCGTTGCAGTTCCCAAGGGCAAAGTGCTCGTATCTCTCAATTAATTTTTTATTGGATTTCTTGCCAAATATTCCGTAAACGTTCTGAAAAATAAATCGAACATGTATATAGAAACTTGGAAGTACCGTTAGAATATTTAGGCAAGCCTGCGAAAACAAACAAAATAGGAGAGAGGAAAATAAATGATGAACACACAAGTACGAAAAGAAAAAACAAAACAAAAAAACAGAAGAAAACGGAAAGGGAGAAACATGAATTAAAAGGCAATCAGCGCGGAGAAATGACAAAATTATGGATGATGTTGAAAGAGTTATTCTCTTTGGAATATAGCAATAGGTAGAAGTAAAAAATATTTCTTGAAATATTTATCCAAAAAGCGAGTTTACAGCCTTTCACCTTGATTACTACATCTTTACATGAAAAATGTAGCTTTCTATATAGTCGATCTGAGCAGTATCCTCGAAGCTAGTTTGCCAAATATAAACCTAGTATGGCCTGGCTTGCCGAGGAGTTCCCTTCCTTTCATTTGGATGTTCGGTGTTAAATAGGAACGTCCGAGTTTCGAATCATTATACGAGACTCTCATATTTTTTTCTTTTCTCATACTCGAGAAAAACTGAAATATTTGGGAGAGGTCAGACGTGAGGATCGAGTACGGCGAGGCTTTTACGTCATGTCAACCACCCAAACATTTCCTCACTCGGTCTTTCCATTCAGTCAATAACTTGTAATCACTGGTTGAATCTTAAGAATGCGTTACCGGATTAACAGCACTTGGTGGTCGGTTAGTATGAAAAAGAAAATTTCCCAAGCTGTAGGAGATAAGTTTGTTATCTTGAAGACAGTGATCCTGAAGAACGTGTGGATGAGTTCCAATGATCATATCCACCCCAAGAGACATCAGGTGTTTGTATATGTGCTTTTGGGAGGAGACGGGTTCTAAAGTGAGTTCTTCACCATAGTGCATGAAAATGACTATAATGTCAACTTTGGCCTATGGAAGTAAAACCAAAAAAAAAAAAATTAAGCAAAGTATAACTAGTCAATACCAGTGTTATAGAATGACTAGAAGGATAGATCCTTATTGTATTCAAATAAAAGAGGATGATATGAAATGCATAGAAATCAAATTAAAACTCGAAGTAGATGATGAATAAATTGTTTCGGGGAGCAGGGATGGCGCAGCATTAAGAAGGAAGTAACATCTGACTTGAGTTTCTCTTTGGTTCTCACCCTGATCCGAGGGTTTTTCTCCAGGTCCGAGGGTTTTTCTCTCTCCACCACATCAACGTTGTGAATTCCAATTCGACATGGAAACATTAGACAAGAAAGCTACCTCGTGGAATGTCCACGGCCATATTTTATAGTTAAGAAGGAGGCGCTAATTTTCTGGACCAATCACAAAGCGAAGTTAAGCAAAACCAAAGTAATCCTAAATCAGTTTCGACACTCAATTAAAAACCGCCCTGATGATCATAAAGATATTAAACTTGAGTTAAACCTTCTTTAGCCTCCTAATGTCTCTAGTGGCGATATCATCTTCATAAATGGCGGGACCCGAGTTGAACAAATTCCTCATTTCGCTGCAGTTTTTCTCTGAAGTGACTACTGTGCAATAACCGAGGAATGCTATAGTGATTCTGCCTCTTTTAATAATAAAAGGTTCCTAAAACATGACAACAAAAATATTGATATCAGCTTAAAGCTGGTTTTAGATGTATCTGTTAAGATCTAGCTGGAGTAAATGCAACGTTAACAGCGGAAGATACTGTTGTATGGAATTTAATATGGGCCTGTTTATATTGAGGTGTCCATATAACCTCTCATTTCATCTTGATCATGTTAACGTAAAAGCAGGAGAAACACGCCTAGCCGTCATAGGCATTCATAATTTTCCCTATAAAAGTCTCAAGATGGGGTAACCCACCTAGCCAAGGTTGCCCTCACGCTACATTTGCAAGCGCGCTAACAACCTCTTGAAACCGTTTCGAGGTAGAGGCTTTACTCTGGGATCCCGGGATTGTAAGATTGTATGTAAACATGGTAAACATGGTCTATTTTTTTAAGCACAGCTAAGCAATTTACCTCACCTACTTCAGGGTCCTTAGCCTCAATGAAGACAGGCCCTAAGAGTACCCGGATGTTGCAAATAAGCTACAGTACACCTGTCTAAATTGATAAATTGTGAAGCGCCCGTTAAGCCGACCAATAGTTATGACACCTTCTTAAACCCTGTCGAGTGAAGAATCATCAAGTGTGATGGTTTCACAATATACGTCTCGTTGAAAAGATTTGCAGAACTCTTCCAGACGCTCCCTTGCTGTTCACCAATCCATTCGGTTATTAAAAATACCCAGGTCACAAGATAGTAATACAACGTTGAAAAGATGTCTAAAATGTTAAACTGATGTATTTTCAAATAAAATAATTGTACTGGTTTGAGATTAAATCTCTATGCCTTCCCTAAATATTCTTCCATCTCGTTTCCGGGAAAATGGGGTATAAAATAGTGCGTTACTATACCTGAGAGGAGTCATATTTTCCGAAACTTATTCCAAAATACTTTATACCCGTCTTTTCCAGGACTTCACTGGTAAAATTAGCTCCTACACCGCCCAAATCGTTCAAGTGATTGTTGGCAATAGTCACGGCATCAAATCCTGCAAACCTGCATTGAGGATCCAAGAGTATAGCTATCAGGTATGTGCAATGTATACCATGCTTCTAGACCTGAATACTTCTAATTGCAAATGAATAATTTCAGACCAGCTCCTCACTTCTGAGATGGTTGAAAACGGAGGTAAAATAATATTTCACATGTTACTTTCATATTCTTCCTTTTTATGAAATTCTTTTATCGTGTTGATGAACCTTTTTTGTATATTTCTTAATATACAAAAGAGTAAATCTGTATACCGGCTAAAATTTACTCAATTAATATTAGCGGAGCTCGCAGCGCGCGCAGCGTAGCCCCAAAATAGTAGTAAAGCCAAAAAAATTGGACTTACGACCGCGCGACCGTAAAAGGTGCTACTTTCAGCATGCGCGGCTAATTATAACGCGGGCACGTCAACGCCGTAGCCTTATTCTTGTCTTGCGGAAGTTTGAGCACAATGCGGGCGCAACACTTGCACGAAATAGTAATAACCCATCAAGCCGAAAAAAATCTGGACTTGAGACCGTACGACCAACAGAACAAGGTGCTACTTTTAGCATGCGCGGCCAACTGCATTGCGGGCACTATCTTAGTCATTACGTTATGGAAGGGCGCTGGAGAAGGTAATGCGCAGGCTAGACTGCGTGCGTAACTTGGATACCCATCGGTATGTGCCAAGAGACACCGGCAGATGAGACAATGAAATGTGCAAACTCGAGTCCCGAGCTTTAGTGCAGCGTACTGCGGGCACACGGTTAGGCATTACACGAGGGCTTCACGTGGACTAGTGGATATGAAGCCGCTTAAGCAAATCATTTTCAACCCGCATTTTGAGCGGGAAATCAAACTGGTGAGGTTGTAGTTGAACAGTACGTCTCAGAATTTTGCAATTTCTAATAAACTCGCAAAGCAACAAAACCGGCAGAGATAAAGCTTTGTCAACCGGACAGCCCAACCTCATCAAAACATTGGCAACAGGAGCGATTAGCAAATCAATGATGCAAAAAAGAGAGTCTATTCCCACATACACCCTCCTCAATCCTGTCAGCTTATAGTGGACATGGCATTTCAAACATGGTGTATATGCCACAAATTTTCCATTTCCCTGACTAATTATTTTGTAATTGTGTTTACACAATTAAGTAGAAATATAAAATAGAGACTTGTCAGTAGAAAATGAAAACTTTTTACATAATTATCAATAAAATTGATTGTTGTGTTAACATGTTGCAACAACTCCACCTTCCAGTAAATTCAATTATTCGCAAACATGAGAAAATACCAACTAAAACTTTTCAACCTATTTAATATAGCCAATAAAAATATCAACTCAACTTTTAAACTACATAGAAAACTTGATTAATGTTTGGAATTGATTACTGTGATGTAAAAATGAAATCCAGGTATTATCTCAATTTTTCTACAAATGTCTTCATGGTCGAATCCTAAGTCTCTCTTCGACGTCAAGTTTTAATTATGATATTCTAGTTTTAGCTTGTCTTCCTCTGAAGCAAACTTTCGCAGCGCAAGAAACATGTTAGACAATTTCGTATTTCATTAGCTAGAGTTGCTAAGATCATGGGAAGTTAGCTTAAAAACACGTAAATTTTATGCAGTTACAGAGGAGATTGCCGAAATAAATAACAGAAAATATCTCGAAAGGAAGCCACGTATTTCCAGCCAGAGGACGATCATGAAACAAGGACAGCCAAACGAGGAAAAGTTAAAATTAAAAAAAATTACAGGTTTAAACACGAGTTGAAAGTTGCTTTTCTATTCAATTTTCTACGCTAAACAGAGGAGGTTGTAACTCTAGGGAAACACGGTGAGGCAAGCAGTCATAACTGACAATTTCAAGAGAAGATTTGAGAGAAGTCCATACGATTCTGGCGTATAATTTCACTGATTCGCTGTTCTCACGTGTATGTTCTTCAATCGACAGGTGATGTCTTAAAACACGAAGTAGTTTACCGTCGTTTCTTTCAATTTTGGCTCATTTTCCCAAACCGAAATTATCAGTCACGCTCAATAGAATATAATTTCAACTGATGCTGACATCATACACTTCCTCTGAAGAAGAAATAGATTTCGCTATCTTCGAAAATTTGCTCAACCCATCAGGAACAGGTAGTTTATAAAGCATGTAATGACCTAAATCGACCTAAAACCACCTAAGACCACCTGAAACCACCTACAACTACCAACGGAATACTATTTTCATCATTTCGAGGCATTTTTGTGACAATTTTGTTGACAAATGTAAATACACACGGGTAATGTTGTCTTGTTTCGCGGGTTCCCATCAATAGCGAAAACTAATACCCCTGAAAATTAAGTCACTGTCTGCGACATTTGCCTATCCGATGGCTCACATGGCTAGGGAAAACACAAAGAAAATTGTTTACACAGGAACAGCATCAAGAGCCT